GTGTTTCCTCCATGTTCTGATGGTGCCACGTGGGCTCCTGTGATCTCATAGTCTGACACGGTCTTTTCTCCATGTTCTGATGGTGTCACGTGGGCACCTGTGATCTCATGGGCTGACACGGTGTTTCCTCCGTGTTCTGATGGCGTCACGTGGGCCCCTGTGATCTCATGGGCCGACACAGTCTTTCCTCCATGTTCTGATGGTGTCATGTGGGCCCCTATGATCTCATGGGCCGACACAGTCTTTCCTCCATGTTCTGATGGTGTCACATGGGCCCCTGTGATCTCATGGGCCGACACGGTGTTTCCTTCATGTTCTGATGGTGTCACGTGGGCCCCTGTGATCTCATGGGCCGACACGGTGTTTCCTCCATGTTCTGATGGTGTCACGTGGGCCCCTGTGATCTCATGGGCTGACACAGTGTTTCTTCCATGTTCTGGTGGTATTGTGTGTGCTCCTATGGTCTTCTCACTGGCTGATGTCCTTTTTATGTCTTTTGTAGTCCTTGTGAGGGGATTCCCTGAGACAATGGTAGTCCTATACTTTTCTGTTCCATCTGACTTTTCTAGGCTTTTTGTAGTTTTATACGATGCCACTGTGGTTTGTGCAGTTTCTTCTGAGGAAGATGTGGTCTTCCTGTTGATCTCTGAATTGACTGAGTTGTGGAGCAGAATTGTAGTCTGGTGTGAGGTGACGGTTTTATCATTTAAACTGATGGTAGGCCTTTCCACAGTTCTTACACTTGTGGCTACGTTTCTTGTTATTTTTGTTTTGCCTGCTGTGGACTTACAAGTTGTCTTACTCCCGGGTGCTGAGGTTGAATGCTGTTCTGGTGATCTTTTGTGTATGTTAGTGGAGTCCACATGATGATTAGAGAGTTCATCCCGCACAAATGGCTCCTTTTTCAGATTGCTGGTGTTTTGTGTAGAAGTGGGAGGAGGTGTGTGCTGAGCTCCAGGGCGTTCATGATCTGTACTTCTGGAGTTATCTATAGGCCTGTGAGTTGGCCCGGAATGGCGTGTGGTGTTGCAGCGGCGTTTTGACCTCGGGATCTCAGTAGATTTGGGGAGGTCCGGAGGGCTGTGTCTGGCATGCAGAGCAGGGTGGTCAGGGGGAGCACTATAGGTAAGGCCTGGAGTGAAGGTGGATGAGTGAAGCGATGCTGGGGATTCGCCAGTTTTCTGAAGTTCTGGAGATGTAGCACCTGTGCAGGGAGAGGGGCAAATAAGAATCTTCTCTCCAAGTTCTGTCCGTCTTCCCTCCGTTTCCAGGGCCCCTTGGTTCTCCCAGATGTGTCTCCCCAGGCAGTCCCCTCAGAATACCATACTAGCTAATTCCCATTTTCACCTCCAGCTTCTAGACCTTTTCTCAAACCATGCCTTCTGCAAAAATGCTCCCTTCCCCCGTCCCTGCATCTCCTCCACAACTCCCAATTTGAGGTCCTTCTGGCATTTTCCCTGGTTCCAAAAAGCAGAAAAGACCTAGCTTCATTGCAGATCTCACAAGTACCTGTGTTAACCACCTGTCCTGTTACCTTCACCTCAGCATTACCGCTGTGTGTGTGCCTGTCCACATCAACTTCCTACCATACCTATCAGATGGTGAGGCTGTGAGGGCAGGGATTGAGCGGCAGTTTGCTGTACAGGCACTCCTCTAGGGTTCACAGACTTAAGGAATAGAATTCCTTTCCCATGGCGGAGCTGAGAGGAAAAGGAATACATACCAGCAGTCTGTCTTTCTGTGACATTCCAGATCCATTCCAAATGTAATAGTGTGAGAGACTGAGGTAAAACTTCGGGCAGAATTCTCTACAGACATGAGGTGTACAGCGGCTGTGGGAGGAGTGTGAGAATGGGGGGTGGGGAGGGAGGTGGGGAGCTTCCATTTCTGTGATAAAATTTAGTCAGGAAGGGGAAATAACTAAGATGACTCCACCCTTGCGGTTCTCCCGTTAGGTCCTTCACGCCTAATGCTGTCGCGGGGTAGATGAAGGTGGCCTTCTTGACAGGGAAAGATCTCCTTGGGGGTACTGACAGAAGCGAATGAGGCAGCAGGACCCTAGGAGGAACTAACTATGTTTAAGGACAGGGTGGGAAGGAAACACCCCATCAAGGGGCAGATATGGGCCTACTTCCATGGGAAAACAGCTGGATAGGCACACAGGACATGCTCTGACATCTTCCCAGAAGAACGGGAACCCGGACACCGCTAACACGTAAGGGAGATAGCATGGTTACATAACCGAGATTCCAGTTTCTGTTAGCTCAAGGTGGCAGTCAGAAGCTGGGCCCGTTCCCAGTCATGGCAGCCATGACCGACCCACCGCTGACGCGGAGGATCAGGGCTGGGGGACACGGGCCTCAAAAGAAATACGGGTGGGGCAAGAAGATGGTGAGGATAAAACAGAGGCCACGTCCCCAAAGAGAGTTGAGGCTGTGGGGAGGCAGAAGGGCTGAATTATCAGGCCTTCACTCTACTCCGTCGGTTCCATTCTTTGAGTCCCTTAACAGCATTCCAATAATAACTACCACCACAGGGCACTTTCTCTAAGTGCTGTAGTGGATCTGGACTGTCCCCCAGAGGCTCAGGTTTTAAAGGTTTGGTCTCCAGTTGGGAGGTGGTAGAACCTTCAGGAGGTGGGACCTAGTGGGAGGTCTTCAGGTTGAAGGAGATAATGGGATCCCAAATTTGGTTTATTTTTTAGCATAGCTTTGCTCTGCCACAGGATCCCAGCAAAATGAGCTTCCATAGGCCCAAAGCAGTAGTGCCAATTGCTCATGGACTCAGCCTTCCAAAACCATGAACTGAAATCAAACTTTCCTCTTTATATATTGATTGCCTCAGGTATTTTGTTACAGTAACAATGCTAACACACTGCAGGTGACCAGCAGTTTGCCTCACAGACATTCTCTTTTTGGATTCTCCTCTTCCATGAATGTCACCCTAGCCCAACAAGGCTCCTTAGAAACTGTCAATTTCCCCTGACTGGAGTCTACTGGAGGAAAATGACTTGTACCTAGTCCCCTGGCGATAGCAACGGCCAACCTTTCTGAGCAGTTACTACTGAGGCAGGCAGGTCCTGTGAGTGAGAACAAACACTAACTCATTGAGTTCTCACAGGAGCCCGTTGCGGCTGAGAACTATCCACTATTCTCCCAACTTCATGCGTGAGGAAACAAGAGTCAGAGTGGTTAAGTAGTCTCCTCGGGGGCAACCAGCAAGAAAGGAGGGGAGCCAGAATTTGAACACACACTCCGAGCTCCCAGGCACACTGTCTTAATGGCTAAGATCACAGTTCACATCTTATAAATCAGTCCTGTCTCTTGGGAAGGAAAGACATACATCTGTAGAAATCCTAAACTGTGCTCTTCATATATCTGCTTGCCTCATCTTTTTTCACAAACCCATGCAACAAGAGTTTTGAACTTACAGTTTCTCAGGTGAGGAAAGGAAATTCAAAGAGGCAAAGTAGCTGGGTGTGGTGGTACACACCTATAATCCCAGCACTTGGGAGGCTGAGGCAGGAGAATTGCCACAAATTTGAGGCCAACCTGGGCTACATAGTGAGTTCAAGGCCAGCCTGAATTAGAGTAAGATTCTGCCTCAAAAAGTAATAACAATAATAATAATAAAAATAATAATACTTAAAACAAAAGAGGCAAAGCAATTGGCATAGTCAGTTTTTCTGCTATACACCAGGTTCTTTTAAGCATGCCAAGAGACGGACAGATCTGCCGAGGGGCTTGGTGAGCAGACAGTGGCCTGGGTGGCACCTTCCACCGGCCTTACAGAATTGGGACAGGCTTGAGCCCCGGCTCTGCTGTCATGTGCTTTGCATCCCTGCCCACATGCGCTCTGTCCATGCCGCCCTCACACCCGCACTCGTGCACAGCAGTTTAATTTCCACCGCGGCAAGGATGTTCATCTGTGTGCGGCACTACATCTCCAGCTAGAGCAGTGCCAGGCTCAGAGGCGTGCTTGGTACACGTTTACTGACGGGCGAAGGAAAGGGTGCACGGCTGTCAGACACGCTGGAGAAGCCTTGCCCAAGCTGTGCACGTCGTCTGTAAAGCAAGCACATCTGTGGCTTCCAAAGGTTGGGAGACCGAGCAGCAACTGCTGCCGGGTGAAGGAACTACACATTGATCTTGGAGAAGGGCCTCTGCCCTCCAGGTCTGGGCACCAACTGCCGAGCCACAAAATCAGTCAAGAGCTCGACTCAGAGAGCAGCTCTCAGGACTCCAGATCCCAGCCCTGCCATTGCGGAAGCACAGTGTAAAGACAGGCGCTGAGGAAGTTCGGGGAATTTCCTAGTCTGAGCTTAGAATTCGGGCTAAATCCGTGCGTGAAGCCCAGGAGGGGCTAACCGTGTCTTTCCCCAGTAGACCGACTTGGTGCCAGTTTTATTGCCCTAACCCCACAAAATGGCTTAATCCGCTTGCAAGAATGTGGGAAAATAGGCTAGGCACAGCGGCATATGTCTGTAATCCCAGCACTCTGGGAGGCTGAGGCAGGAGGATTGCAAATTAAAGCCTAGCCTGGGCATTTTAGCAACTTAGCAAGACCCTGTCTCAAAATAAAACAAGATGTGAAAGGCTGGGGTGTAATTCAGTGCAAAGGCCCTGGGTTCAATCCCAGTACCACAGATGATGACGATGATGAGTACTTGTTAAAACGTCTGTGCAAAAAATAAATAAATAAACATCTGTGCAGTATACACTTTGTATGTGGGGCTTTTGTTTTGTTTCATTTTGTGTTTTGTTTTTGTTTGTTTTTTTCCGGTACCAGGAATCGAACTCACAACCTTGCACTTGCCAAGCAGGCGTTGTGCCACTGAGCTAAATCCCCAGCCCCTGTTCTTTATTTTTTGAGAC